TATAAGTTACCTGAAGTAATCTGTGTGAAGGGTGGAGTCACGAGTGTCAGTTTCACAGCCATCTTTCTTGTCTTGAAGAACAGTTGAGAAAAGCAAAATTAAGGATTTAAACGAATTTACCGTATTCATAACTATTCCCCCTGTTGTTGATTTAAGTAACGAGGCGTCTTGTTGACCTGGAACCCGATGTTAAATCCAACAAAATAACGTTGCTAACAAAACATTCGAAATTATTGTTTAGCCATGCAAATTAAGGAATTTAAATTCACAAAGATTGATTGCTTATAAAATCTACTTCTCCGTTTGCGTCTACATTGCCATTTCAGTCGGTAAATATGAACAATTCCTTCAAGTGCAGTATTGTTTCTGTGAGAAAATAATATCTACTGTTGCAGATAGGTCTTACCTCAAGAAGGGCTCAAAAGTCGTCAAATGTCCTGAGAAAGAGCTTTTGCATCTCTGGTTTATGCGAATCACGTGCTTGAGAAATTTTCTTGAAGCGAAGTTCTTGATGCAAGAATTGAAGATTCGTAGCAGCTCCTGATATACGGACATATCTTACGTTGTGCATTGATAGATTTTGTAGCAAAAAGTGAGGAGAAAACAAGATTTCTGCATGTTGAAGTTCTAAACGTGGATAGCAAAGCCTACTTTCAACGAACAGAACGTGACAAATGTTTCATCGCATGAATAATTTGCAATATGATTTTTGAAAAGCTCGTGACCACGCACCAAACGTCGTCTAAATGCAGCTATTTGATTGGATAGTCTTCTCAATGTCACAACAACTGCGGAATATTGAAATTTCCTATAGAGAATTTTTTTTTCCCTTTCGAGGAAAATCCGTCACGAAAACGAAGCTTTTCGAAAACGCTTTTTAAACCGTTTTTCCTTTCTTCTTTTCGTTTTCGCGTGGGCTGAAAACATTTTGAAAACGGAGCTTTTAAAAAACAGTGACGTTACGATCATAATGTGATTTTCCTGACTGGGTTTTCCTAAAACACAAATTCAAGATCGCCGAAGATTGGTGCGTTTTCAGATTTCTCCGGCCTAGTCTGCACGGAAAACATTTGAAGCGTTTTCAGAGTGAAACTTTCGTTTTTAAATTCCTCCGTCGTAGTGTGGAGGGGACCTTAAACGATTTTAACGGAAACCTCGAATGGAATAATTTTGCAGAAACTAAGTGGTCGTAGCTTACACTCAAAAGGATAATTTGAGTGCCATCAAATCAACGTTCCGACAGACGTCACGATACACGTGACTCCAAGAATGTCTGAAGACTTCTTTAAAGTAAGAGTAATTCAGCCAATCTGTGTGCTAATTGTGTTTTCTCTGTGAAGCTGCGAGTCTGAGGTGTGAAAGAACTGCGAAGGGGGCGACCGATTTGGGAGCAATTGTCCGACTCCAAACGCGAAACATCAGCCATTGTTTTGGGAGCCATTTCAGAAAGTTTACAGATGAAACGACTGGGAGATGTTTATGTTGCACAGTGCAACACACGTGGTTACGTAATATCTAAAACGACATATGCCCTCGCAATATTTACCTATGCATTAATTTCATACACTTTAATCACTGATAAACAGAATTACCACAAAAAAATTACGGATGAGAGACTGACCCCTCATTTGCATTTCATTTACATAACCTGCTTACCCTCAACAACTCGTAACTTGTTATCGCAAATCACGAGTTAAAGACTAAATGTGGAATGACATTTGAGTAAAAATAAGTAGGAGCGTAATCTGGTTCAGGTCCTCACTAACTAAGGTCTTCCCGAGATTTCTTGGACTTCTTGGTACGTATTACGCATGTCGCGAAATTATGATTATCATAACATTAAAGGCAAATAAGAAATTGTGACGATCATAATTTTGGTCTCCAACTCATGGCGTAGTCGTAGCGAGACAGGGATTACCATATCCTAAAAGCTCCGCTAAAGGCCAATTCCATCTACGATTTCTTTGTTAGACTAGTTTCCCATGTCAGAGACAGGCTGTTTTTTGAAATCTCGGCGTAATCATGAAATATACATTTTCTCTTTCGTTTATATTTTGTGGCAGTCTTTCCTCACTGCACAATTGGTTTGTTACTAGACAACGTTTGGAAACACGTATTTTTGGCCTATAAGAAAACGTTAGAGCTACAGTTTTAGAGGCGACTTGTTTTGCTCGGTACATTGACGTCACTTTAATCATTAAAAGCATAAGAAAACGACGACTGAATAACGATTTTTAGATGAAATTATTTGATATATTGGTTCCAGAACGTTTCCTTTGTCCGGACGTAATAAATATATTATAATTGTGGCTCTGAAGTGACATGTGTGCTGACACAAAGACAAGCACGGATCGTGTCATTCATTATAGGGTAACACTATTTTCTGATCTTATTTACACGTAGCCCCGTACCACGGTGTGTTTCTGTAATTTATGGCAAGAAAACGTATTTCTTTTAAACAGCAAAGATAGCCAGCGAAGAATTACGTTTCCAGAAAGAGAGGTTTATCACCATTCCTTATAGCCCCAAGTGGGGCATAGGGAGAAAGAGAGGTTGACGTCGTTTAATTACAGTTGACATTAAGTAGAGGTAAGTGTATGGAAGAAATTGCAATTAAGGATTCACAGTCTAGGGGCGTTACGACCCTATACAAAAGTCGCGCTTTAGCCACCTCCGGAAATCCAGAAAAAAGTAGTCAATTATTTGTTTACTTGTGAAAAGCGCCTCAAATATTTAAATCTGCTAGTTTGCAGTCTTCAGTCTCTGCTTTAAAACTACTATTAGTTATCCCAAAGGTTATATAAACGAAATAGGTTGGTAAATTACTCCACGTTTTTCCACTGATGTTTTGATTTATCTAACGGTTGGAAAATGGTGACCAACAGCATTTCCAAATCTTAATAATTAAATTTTCCAAACCTCCCACAAGGCTAGAGCCTTCGGCAGATCATTAGCTTTTTTCTTGGAGCGTTCTGCACGGAAAACGCCCGGGGTTAATACACTACTCGTGATATTTGAATATTATCACAAAATTTCGCGACCCGTTTATGCGAGTGCAGTTTAAAGAATTTTCAAATATCCGGAGTAGTGTAAATTCTTAATTGTTTGGACCTTTTATGCGATTACACAATTATTATATGACCGAGAAAATCGCGAAAGCGCGCCCGTTAATTTACACCTCTGTACAAATTAAAAATCAGCAATAAATTACACTGCTCTAGTCCAATCACCATGAAGTAAATTTTGTGAGTCATAGTCATAAGCAGTCTTATATTGGTCTTACGAGTGTTTGTCACAGACACCCGTCACAATATTTAAAGAAAAGCTGTTAGCTGGAATATAAAGTAGATTGAATTAGGTGCTTAATTCAGAAGATAACAATAGCTGTCCATGCATGACTTACAAAATTTCCATTAAAGCTATTTCACCTGCATTCGGGCATTTGTTGGTCTAAAGACGAAAACTTGTATAAAAATGACGTACTAAAATTGAAGTAAGTAGAATTATATGTCTTTCAATATCATAAAGTGAGTAGATGAATGCACTTCATATCATTAAACCCCTAACTTGCCGCTTGTGAAATCGAATCTGATATAAAAAAAAAAACTGGACTCCAAGTCTAGCATAATCGAAATGCGTTGAATTAAGATTTCACTCCTGTTCAATGTTAGTTAAAACCGTGTTGTTTCGTGTTTCTGAACTATGCTCCAAACAGCAGCAAAACTTTTTGAATACGAACAGAAATCGCTACGCACCAAGACCTAAAGAAATTATAACGGCAAATTTATGCCCAGAGAAGTATAACCCGGTGTTTTATTTTCATTATTATTTATCATTACACGTACAAATAGATTGTTTTTTGCAGCGAAAATGTTCGACGCTCTTTCAAAGATACTTTCGCTTATATCAAAGTAAATTCACGACAGGAGTCTCAAAAAACCATCTTAAACAGCAGATCATTTTATATCATCACACATGGTCATCGAGCTTAATTAGTATTCAACCATACACTGCCCAGTCCTATTGCCCAATGAAAGGGACATTTTGGGCACCGATTTTCAATCTCTACATCGATTTTCACAGCATGAGTTCATCAACAACAACAACAACAACAACAACAACAAAATTGCCCTCGAATGGAAGAAATGCGAATAGTACAGTATGCTATCAGTATGAATGATACTTAATGATGTCCCCTGAAGATGTAAATAATCCATCTTTGCCACAGTGCAGACTAACCACAATTTTGTTTTTCAACACTTCAGTTTATTAAAAAGTTGAACCATTTGAAGTTTAAATTTATTCATCGAGACTTCAAATTTTATTTCATTGTTATTTCTTGGGTCAGAAATTCGCATGTTTCACTACGTTTATTTTTCCCCCTTCATATTTTGCTGATGAAAGTCAAACACAAGCAAACTTCTCCTTGAGACAAAGAAGAAAAAAAAGGACAAAAGTGAAGAAAAAGATAGCAATTAAAACGTTCAGGCAGCAATTAGCAGTTTTTGTTGCGTTGTGTTTATTGTTTGCCGCCACTGGAAAACCCCGAAAACGGAATAATTTTTCTTATCTTAGTGCATTCCAAATGATTATTTCCCTAACCGGTTGCGACGTACTGTAACTTTTATTTTTAGCGGAGACAAAAGGCAAAATTCATTTAATTTTTCACCAATGTAAACTGGTTGTTTCCTTCGTAGATAAAATTTAAGCTAAAGTTAACGTGAAAAAAAGAAATAAATTCAAACAGTGAATTAACAGCTTTGTTCGCATTTTTTTTAAGCTCTACTGCTTTGTCTTCTTAGTCCAACTACTAACGACTTGTTTACTTTCTGTGTTTATAATTCATCCAAACAACACAAAAACAAGACCTCAGTTTTTATTGACTTCTCAGCAAAAATGTTCGTTTTTGTTCACCCACGTAATGATATCGGAATTATCTATACCCAGAGAATAGGTAATAATTTCACTATTTCACTGCCAGAAAAGAAATTAAACTCATTTTCTATTATATTGCCCTAGTTTCATTGAAAGCCGCCATTAACCGTCGTTATTGTGTCAAAACTTTCATACATTATTAAAGCCATATTCAGCGGAAATAAGAAGAGAGTGCAAAATGGTGAAATTTACATTTGATCCTTTCACGGTTGTTTTGCGAAATTCAGACCGCCTTCCGACCAAAATATAGTTAGCATAAAGATAAGGGTTAATATTGGTACCGGCATAGATGAATACCCGCGGGAAGCGACGCCGCTTGAGACACAAATTAAAGACCCCGGGACGCAACGAAATGTACTTATTTCACTATATCCGCAAATCCGCGCCAATCACAATGCAAAGATTTGGTCACCTGACAATTTCAATAGCGAGAGAATTAAAAACAACCGAAGCCGTAGACGTTTTCCGATCGCAAGACGTCGAAAGAGAATGGAGTTATCAGTATTTGTTTCGCATGAGAATGAACGGAACGTTCAAAATACAGAAATTCATTGAGAGGAAGCAATGAATGAGAAAGCGACGCTATCTTAACCATTTTACTTCGAAAAAGGTGAGCGTACCAGAAATTTCCCTATCCGAAGTGTCAAGGTTGCTAGCAATAGAACTATCGTGCTGTTATTCCCTAATCTTAGCAAAATATAGCTTCAATATATCTCCTTTGAGATAAAATGTTTCTCACCTAAGTTGTAGAATAGTTTAAATTCATGAAAAAAATTGTGATATATTTATAGAGGTTTGAAATGTTTCCGTGACTAACCAAATTTAAGGAAAAGTTAAGCTGAGTCAAATGATGATAATTTTCCAATAAAGCAACAAACACACATTATGAACCTTTCTTTTCCTATCTGAACATCACTTTCAGAGGAATGGCGGGAGAGAACGCCTGAAAGAAGAATCATTTCATTTCTTTTGGCATTTTTCTGAAAATTTGGTGAAAAAGAAAAAAATATTGAGGATAAATGACTTAATACACCAAGTCATAAATCACCTGTTATTGAACAAATTTACTTTTCTTGTTTGATGTACTTAACTGGCACTTCGATGTAGTTTACTGAGGTTCATGAAGCTAGTTAAGTACACCAAGCAGCAAAGATAAATTTGGTTCAACAGCAGTTGATGTATCGTTCGCTTTACTTGTATGACATTCACTTATGAAGTGTATACGAAAAAAAGCAATAATCTGTGACGTCACTCAATATATTGTCGCTGTTAATTATCTCCCGGGCTTTTAACAAAAAAAGTATGCATTTTGTTTCCAGTTTAGATCTATATCGTGAATCCTTTTTCCCTGCATGGTTGTCGGCTTCATGCGAAGAAATGTAGAAAGAGTGCTGTGAACACTAAGAGCTTCAATCTGAAATAGACCGTAATAGTCACAGCTTCTTTACAGGACGTCTAAGGGCGAAAATCCCTACGTATGAAAAAAATAAACTTAACTAAACAAAACAAACACAGATTTATCATTTCCTTTGTCAGTATTTTTTTTTGACCGATCAAAGTAATCGCTTTCCTCGTCACGTCAACGTCAACTTTCATTTCAAGATTCTTGTCAGTTTTTTCTCCACCTTTCATACTTAAATTAAGGCGCTTGAAACTGAGAAAAAACTAACTTCATTTTTTCCTATTTGTATTACTGAACACAGCAATGAATGAACTGGGACTTGCTTTATGTCTCGCCGTCGTTCTAAGCACTGTTAGGGACAAAGCTTCTGTTGGAGGTTACTTAGCCATTGAAAGAAAAGAGGAGAAAAGGTTTGCTTTTTTCCGCAACGTCAATAAAGGTAGGAGACATATACAGACGTAATGAACTGGCTTCCTCAAACGAACACAGTTTTGACATGCAACAGAAGTCAGATTTTGTGGCTTTTTCTGAAAAAAAAATGTATTAAGAAACATTTTCGTGTGTTAGCTGTTTGGTCACGTGGCTTAATGGCATCCATGTTTTAAAAGTTTGTTTTACCCAAAGCTTGTGTAGTTTTACCTTTTTAAAAATTTCCTTTTCAATTCGAATTTAGATTTCATGGCTATTGTGACCGAGTTCTTCACATTTCTTATACTCGTTTCTTTTTTTCCTGATTTATCAGGTTATTACTATTATTATTATCATTATTATCATTATTATTATTACTATTATTACTATTAATATCACTATTGTTACTATTATTTTCATTATCGTTATCGTTATCGTTATCATTATCATTACTATTTTTTTTTTGTCTTTTAATTCCTGAGCTGTTCTGACTTCTCTGAGGAGCGTTTTAATTCCAAGATAGCGTCATTTTGAAATGTGACTTCATTTTGGTTTTATGAGGCGACATGACTGACACGCGATAATGACAAAATTAACAAGCTCGGATGCTGTCAACACCATATAAGTTTGATTACCATTGCGTAAATACTTTTTAAGCGAGATACATTGGTAAGGGAGAGGTCAGAAAACCCTTATTAATTTTATTTTAAGCTGTACCTATAACGAAATCACTGATTGGTTCAACTGTATTAAAAGGTAGGCGAAGTGGGAAGCCTCAGAAATGGAAGGTAATAATTTGAGGTTATTGTTTTTCAATGTGGGGAACAAACTAACAGTGGACAATACTAAAACCTGATCATAGTTATTCTATAGCTATCAGCGCGTGCACTTATTAAAACCAGGCCATAGAAAATACAGCCAATCAGAATACTGGAAAGTCGTTACATATTCGACGATTCCCATCGTGTGCTGCGGGTATGTCTACATGACTGTGTTGGCCACGGTATTTTTATGGCACGGTAAAAAAAAAAAAAAAAAAAAAAAAAAAAAAA